TATCTCAGGATGGTCATCCACTACATGGACCACACCCCATTTCTCCTCATTACCGTGCGTTGTAAGGAACTTTTTCCAATTTTTTGTTTTCGCCTGTCTAATCGCTCGAGAGTACTTCCTCATTTGCTGGCGGTATCAAAATCTCGTTGCTATTACTTCGTTGGTATCTGCACCTAACTTTTTAATTCGCTGGTATCAATAATGCAGTCTATATACGTTACACTTTAAATGAAAAAAAAAGTTATTCCACCAAGGATTCACTTAGTGCTTATCGGCGTAGTATGGATTTTTCACAGAGTTCTATTAATCCACTTGTGAGAGTGTCAGCGAATCTGTCAATCTTCACTGGAAAGTCCAGCAATAGTCTAGCAGATAGTGTGCTTTCCAGTTCGGGTATCTGCTTACTGAAAGCTTTCCAATCGGCTGCTTTAACATTGAACCGTCGAGTTGCCTCCACGTAAGTTTTGCCCTGCACCCCACTTCGATCAAACTGGATCCCGATGGCCAAATGATCTGATCTCTGAATCCACTCTCGTTCAACTAACCATTTGTATAGAGACTGTGACAATTTCTGGGCTGCTACTGTCATCTCAATGAACAATTCTCCTCTTAAGAATCTTAAATATGGAACCTTCTTCGATTCTATTGAAAACTTCTGAGTTAAATTTGATAAAGAAGTTTGCAAGCTTGTCCTCTCTGGTGTCGAAATCTGGAGACCACGAGGGAATCAGTCATTCGCATCCATGCAAATGAGAACTTGTTTGCCTGTGAGAGTCGTCAATACTTTCCTGAAGTGTTCAGTGTGAACATCAGTAGGATCCGCAACTTTTGCAATAATTTGGAGCGGTTTTTGATTACTTGGAGTCAGGACGAAGCTTTCGCTCGTTTTGTTACTTTGTGGTTCGCATAAACTGTCGTTTTGATTGTTTGTGTTACGATTATTATTATTAAAATTAATCATACTGTTACTATTATTATAATCAATAATATTATTACAATCATTATTATTATTATCATCTTGCGATTCGTCAAAGGTGTCTGGCCAGGGATCCCAGGGCTTCGACTCACCTGGGGCCTGACCAGACGGGATTATCCTGCAGACACCCGACTTCCTCAGGTTCGAGGGTGAGCCGAGGCTGCAGCCGTTCAGTCAAAGTTTTGCAAACTTCTCAGGATATGGAGAGACCCGAGGATAACCGCTTTCTGCATACGAGCCGCGAGAATTTCCGTCTGACTACGGCAGACTGGTATTGTTCGAAGCTCTGTCAGAAAGCGGTTCCTCATCCCTCCGAGGGCGCCAATCACCAGGACTATCATGTGCGCTGTGTATTCGTGATAGACATTTATCATAACCTCCATGAGCTCTCTGTAGCGTTCCTGTTTACTCTCTTTTTTTGCACGTTTATTCGTCTTGTTGTTGTTGTTATGAAAAAAAATCGTTGTAATGAAGACAAAATTGTACAGGAGCTCATTACTTGGCGTGATGGAACTACCATACATCATTTTTTGAGGCTTGCAAAAGATAACTTATTAAATGTTTCAGAAAGATATAATCGATTACTGTAAACTGACTCATTTTTTATAGCTTATTTATCTACAATAAAAACAGAATTGTTCCAATTTTATATTTCGTGAAAATTAGTTTATGAAATTGTATCCAAGATAATTGTTTATGCGTTGGAAGTCATTTTGCAATAATAAAGCCAGCCACGATAAAAAAAAAACTTATCATTTATTGATGTCAACAGGGAAGTTAGCGTACCCTATATGTAATATTGGAGATACTATAACCGCAATACCTATTGAAGTCTTATGTACACAGCAAGAATTTTTTTACTAAATGTAAGTGCAAGTAGTGACAAGTACACGTTTCGAAATTTAGAAGTAAAAGCATTTCTATTCAATAGTAAATTTTAAGTTCTTGTAAGTGAACTTGAGACTTAGAAGGTGTCTTAGTAAAAGAATTACTTAAGATACCTCAAAAACCACTTACGAGAACTTTAAATTCACGGTTCAACAAAAATATTTTTACTTCTAAATTTTGATATTTTTGCACTTACATTTTGTGAAAAATATTTTTCTTTGTAGTGTGTGTGTCATAAGTTATAATAATGAAGAATCATTTTTGATTGGAGGAGTAAATTCTATGGAAACTGCATCATATATAAAAATAATTTAAACCTTATTTTATCCACTTCTTAATATTTTTGTGAAGAGTTTTATCCTCTAGTGTTGTCAGATAATAATTACCTCAAATAAATTGCATCCAATTTTATAACTAACGTTTTGAAGATGATAAAAATATTAGATATATAATTTGTAAATTATATAACTTGGCCAGAGATTCAGTAAGTAAAAAACAGTAAGAAAGAATTGAGGTACTTGAGTTTTAAATGACAACAAAATGATTAAGGACAAAATTAGATTCAATTTTTTGACTCGGCTATGGATATTTCGATTTTCTAAAGCTGAAAAGAAGGGAACCGCGAAAGTATAAAATTACCCTAAATTTTATAGTCGTAATAAAAAGAAATCATTCATACGTTCGACTTATCAATGGTTAAATTTCCCAAGTAAATATTGTTATGTATTTTTGCTCTTTAAAGGTGTCAATATGTAAACCATATGCTTAACCACAGAGACTTTGAGTTATTTTTTTAGTCCTAGCTTTTCGACCAATAGACAGGGTTTAGGGGATCTTCGATGAAGAAAGTGAAAATGTGTGATTTACATAAAAACAATAACAAAATTTATTGAATGAAAATCATTGAAAAATTATGACAACCACTTAAACGTTACCAGTCTTTCTTAGAATTTTATTGCTTTTCGCCACGTGGGTTTTCCAAATGCAATAAAATATCTAATAGATAATTTCCTCAACTATTTTTTGAAACTCTTTCTATTTTAACAAAATCTTAGGAAAATTAAAAAAAAAATAACTTGAGTAATAATCGTTAACCTTAATTCTTAACCCATTAGAAGTCACTGTACTCGATCGAGTACAGCTATATTTTTAAGTGTCAATTACAGATCTCGAAAAGTTTATTTGGGTTACCTAATTAGTTGAGTTTATCCTGAGTCAAAAATGACAGCCTAGTTCAAATCTACAAAACTTATACATCTACTAATTCTGCCGGTAGACTTAGAAGAATAAAATCAGTACTTAGGGTCATTTATTTATATAGAATCAAAAGCCTAGTTTAATTCACGAATGTCCCTTCTTTCCTTGCAAAGATTTAAACTAGGTTTTTGAAACACTATTAAACATCTACAAGTTCAGTGCATAGGAAACTGAAATCCTTGTTCAATCCTGATAGGTCTGATGTTTAAAAAAATTTGAAATTCACAAATTGACTATTATTATAGTTATTAATTAATATTTAACAATTATTTAAAAATTTTCGTACGTAAAGTTGTAACATCACAACGATAGATACGAAAACTTGAATATAATTTATAAATATTAATCAACAATTACTATAATAGTTATTTTGTTTGAAAACATTAAGAAATACCTTTTACAATGGTTTTTTTCATTTATTTTTTAATAAATTTTAATATGAAGAGAATTGTTATATTCAACATAATTATGAGGAAATTTTTTTTTGAATTTTTTTTCTGAATTATGCCTTTCCATGTTCTAATTAATATGAAAATAAAGTGAATTTAGTATAAATATCGGTACTTTTTATTCGACCTCTAATGGGTCAAGTTCTATTGCTATTTATTTTTAGCTTCTCTTAAAATATATTTTAAATAATTATGTAAAATAATTAAAATACATTCAAATATTATAATATCTTTATTAGTATTCAAAGAAACTTTAGCTAAGATAGTTACATGATTGGTAAATATTCTACCTTAAGCAATAAATCTTTAGTACCAGATCGTTGATTAGAACAGTTGATTTTATTGAAAAATAAGAATCTACAGTTAATTGCAGTTAGTACGACATTTGTACGAAGAGAAGTAATTGTATATAAATTGATTAAGAAAAAACAATATATTGCATGCATTAATTTATTCCATAATAAATTATTAAAAGAAATATTATTGATAAATCTGTATCCTTTGATAGTAGCTATGTTATTATTCATCAATGTGCAGTTTCAAGCGTGTGTAGTTTACTCAGAAAAATGAGGTAATCTCTATGAATTCAAGACACCAAGTTTTGTTTGATCTCTACATATAAATATGATTAATATGAAATCAGTATAATACTCCTTAGATTGTGAATAACTTTTGATTAAAATAAATTATATCCTGTTCGATAGAGATTTTGAAAATGAGATAAGTTGATTATTATTATTATTATTATTATTATTATTGACGTCATTTGATAAATAAATTTCAATATTTTTAAATGAAATCAATTATAATAGATAAATTCGATCTTTAATGCTCGGTTTAACTAAATGTATTTGTGTATAAATAAATGAATTAATATATCTTCTTATTCATTAGTCCAAATTTACAGGCAAAATTAGTATTGATTAGCTAATTCAATAAGTAAAGTATTATTTCACTAGTTCAACTAGCGAAATTTTATTACTTCCCAGTCACTAATTAATGGTATAAATAGTAAATTTTATCCGTAGAACACACGTTTTATGATATAGTTCCATTCGGAACTTTATATATTTGCGTTTGCACGGATTCATTAGAATACATTTGGAATTCGATGTTATTTTCTATTTTTATTTAAAGCAAAATTCAAATTAGATTAGTCCATCAAGTTTTCATGCAAAAATAATTGATATTGTTTATCAGCTCGATTTTCACATTCAGAAGCTTTTTAAAATGTAGATCAAAAAATCTTAAATTTTTTTTATATTTTTGATATCTATTTTGGTTGGTACTGTTTAAATTGACCTATTTCAATAAAATTATGTTCAACCCATTTGTCAAGTTATTGAGAAAAAATTTATAACAATAAATAATAATAAAGTATTGAGATAATTTGATACTTCTGGATATTATTAGTAACGCGCATGCCCACATTCTTCGACTGACTCGTGAACTTCTCTGCGGATTATTACTAAAGATACTGTGAATTTTCCATGAATAAACAGAATTGGACAAAACATTGATATTTTCAATTACTACAAAAGATTATTCTATGTATATTAACGTATGAAGTTCAAAGCCACAAGTTGAGTTATAAAAGTATTTAATCCAATAATATGGCGGACTGGGTAAGTTGATACATTAAAAAACTGTTCTAATAAACGCATTGTTGGGGTTACACTATAAATTTGGATCTTTTTCTGATTTAAAATAAATTTTAATTCTTAATTTCAGGATTTATTTTTGCGGCGTCTATTTTCATTTTTGGTATTGTGCGCAATAATAAATGTAATAAAGTCTAGACATACTATCATAAAAAGAAACTACAGTGATCAAAGTGTTCGAGGTTATTTAGCAGAAGTAGGTTTTATGAAACAATATTTGCATCATTTTTTAAATTTGCAATACAATAACTGAATCCTTTCTTCCGTTTTTTAATTTAACCCTAAGAGAACATGCTGGTGGAATGAGGTATGTAAAGAAGAATTTCACAGTAAATTTCGGTGTCGTTGTCCTAGATGGTCTTACTGTCGTGCACCTGGAAAATATTATGATGCTCATTGCAGTATAACTCGCACTGGATATATATGGACTCAACCAGAAATGTCGCTGACAATAGAAGTTGATCAATGATGTTGTAAAAAAAAAAAAAGAACAAATAAAATTTTGAAATTGCTATTGATCAAAAATAAATCAACCAATTAAGAATGATCCTAATCATAATCAATTATTTAATCATATTCAATACTGTCAAAAACTTTGGCATTAAATTTTTATTTATACATGTATTTTAAGATTAATTAAATCTTAACACGCATCACTACGTGCACTACATGCGATTCCTTCAAATTCTGAATATTAGAGAAAAAACAGTACTTTGATAAAGTAAATACATTATATTTTTTTTAATTGGACAATATCAAGAAATTGCATGTACAGTCGTTAAATATTGTATATAATTTCTCGCAATTTTTTATCAATGATTGAGTTATTATTGATTTAGAATGATTAAATACGATTACTTATGTAATGAAACTCACGGATAAAACCGTTCAGCTAATAACAAGTATGATTTGTTATAAATAATTTTCAAAAACATATTTAGCTAGTAAATAATTGGTATTGTTCAGAAATCAAGTCAATATTTACAAGATATTGTCAAGAAAGATATTTTTATTTTTATAAGCAGTTAAATTTTTTGTATTTATGAAATGATAACGTATTGTTTATAACAATTGAAACTAGTTATGAATAATTAGAAAGGGTATCTGTTTATTAAATCATTGATATTCTTTTTGAACACGATCAATTTTAACGGATTACGGTACCGATATAGCTAAACAACTTCATGTTGTTTATGATAATACTATTTTATTTTCATCAATTACTGATGGCTCCTATCGATTAAATTAAAATAAACATAGTTTCTTAGGATAAAAAGCGTTTTGACTGGTGCCTATACCGTTAGATAAAATTTTTTTACAGGGAGTTATTCGTATACGCAAGAAAAAGGACCGTCTATAATTAAGTTTGATTTTGCATGATCCGATGTTATCAAGCATAGTTTCGTGTATGAAAATATATGATCATATATAATTGAATATATTCATGCATGATTATGCTTAATTAATTTTTTCTCATCACAGCTCTATGCAAGGCCATGCCTGATCAAATGTTGCACAGAATTATATCTTATAATATATTGTAAAATAAATCCAAATAAAAACTTCAGAAAATCAATAAAAGAATCAAAGGTTTATTAAGATTGACAGTTATAATTAGATTAAAAGAGAAGACGTCTGGTCAACTCAAGTCTCAGTCAAAAACTGGAGATAAACAAAATCTCTCCTCGTTGCTATAAACATTCTAATCGTCAAGCAACGTCAACAACTTATAAAACTGCCGTTAGTCTAATAGTCATTATATGGCGACATACAAATATTCTACAATATATTATGAAAAGTTATACATAATTATACCAAGCTTGATACCTATTTATCAAGAATATCATGCTGAATTATTTTTGATGAAAAAATGTGTTCGAACCCAGATAAATAATTATGAATGTTAAAAGTAATTATACACCATTACACGTATATGTACGTTCAAAAATTCCTTGAAATTCTTCTGGATTGAAATTCTTAATTTTGGAAATCGATTTGATTGGAATTACTTTCTTGTGAAAAGTGACTATCAATAAATTCAATAATCCAATCAGTACTCTCATGATCATATTGATAATCTATCACATGGAAAAAAATCTGTTCCTTCATGTGATTACATAATCCAAACCTACATAATATAAAAACGTGCTAACTATCGTGTATCATGTATCGATGTGTGAATGATCAAGATGTATGGTAGTAATTAGTAGAAAGACACATATATTGAAAAATAATATATTGATTGGCAAAAGTGCATAGTATAATACATAGAACAAGGGATCCAGGTTCAAGTCTCAGTACTAGTGAACAGAAAGAAAGATAATTATGCAGAAACAATTGACATATAATCGTGCAAAATTTTTTTTCCTCCGAAACATGCATGATTAAACATCATCATAGAGGAATCCATTTCATCCATGGCTAACACAATTTATTTATGCATAATCTAATATAATAGAGTTTATAGATGTTGGAGGAGTAGTAGCTATATTAACGGCAGTTATGTTATTATTTGTATCTAAGTACAAAAAAACTTCGACAACATTCATAAATCGGCGCGGTTAAAATAGATGACGTCGTAAAATAGTTGCAATGCACAAAAAAGTCTTTTAGATTGTTCTGTTGGATCATTTAGCAGATGTAATTATTCCAAAATTCTTGCATTTCTCATTTATCTATCCCATGTGGAAATATCTTTCTGAAACAGTCTGAAAAAGAGAATTTCAGAGTATAAAATTTAGGAATACATGAAATTTTCCAAATAAATTGTGTTGAGAATTAATTAATTCTCAAGTATGAATTGCTAGCTGACAGGAACTTCGGCAGCCATCTTGGGACTAGGTCGATAACCAATCGACCAAATAATCAATAACTCCCCATCTAGTCACTTATTTGACTAATTTTCAGTGGACATTTCGACTAATGAAGTTCCTGTCGCCATTCTTTTTCTGTTCTCATTCACGTATACACGTCATTCTAATTGTTTTCTTAAAAATCTAATCTGAATCAACAGAAACATTCACCGACCGGAAAAAATATTTTAGATATTATTAGACACTATTATTATACTATTATAATATTATTAGACATAATTATTATATATAATGTCTTTTTTTAATTTTTAATTGAGATTTATTTATTTTTGAGATTACAAAACATTTTGTAAATATCTTAGGTTAAACAAATTGATCAAAAAATCCTTATTTTCTGAGTATTAAATACACATAGCCAATAATAAAGGGAACGAGAAATTCTTTGATAATTTAGGTACACAAATAGTTTTTAAACTGTAAAATATCCTTATAGCTTAGAAACAATTACCCTGATCTGCTATCAATCTCAGTTCATCTACACATTGAAAAGAAAAGCAACTATAACCAGAATTTTGTAATGTTACATCTCTACAATATGCCGTCAATACAAAGAACGTATGTAACATCGATGTGGCGATGTTACATTACAAGAACATTACGCGTATGCAACAAATGTTACCTAAAATTAATAAAAATATGTTATGGAACATTTAAATAATAGTTGCATAATAAATGTAATGTAACATAGAGATAACAGTGTTATATCATGGAAACATAACATTAAATAACATAAAATATATACTACTAGTATAACAGTGTTATATAACATGGATACAACATGCATGTAACGTTAATTATATTGCCATTAGATAACTACGTTATATAGCTACAACGTTACATGGGTGTGACATCTGCAATATAAACTTGTTACTTTGACAGTATATTACAGTTATATAACATATATGTAACTTTTCGTTACATAACTTGTTACATATTGTTACCTTTGTGTTATTCTGCTGTTATATTCAGTGTTTACTGGGAATATAACTTTGGATATTTTTAGATATATTTATACTTTAATGATATCATTCGATCTATTCAGGTATTATTAGACTAATTCTCACATTCGGGAATATAATGTCAAGTACAGTAAGATAAGTTTTGATATATTCAGATCTAATTATATCTTAATAGATATAATTAAATCGATTTAGATTCAAATGTATTGCATCTTGGTAGATGTACAGCATAATCAGATTAAATCTTATCAACGTAACAGGATTAAAGTTCTACACGGAGAAAAATGCAAAATAAAAATTATAGTCCAGCACTATAAACTGGACGCACTTTTTCAGTTTAGTGAGTTTTATAAAGATTTATAGAAAAATTTTAAGTTTCACTAAGAAAATTGTAGTTTAGCTTATGATTTTTATTGTTTAGCACGGTAATTTTTTGGACAACGAATAATTGATAGAATTTTGAAAAAAAATTAGAGGATACAACATACATTATACTTGTACTAGAATATTTCTATTGCGGCACGGTAAAATTTCACTTTCTCTCTCACTCCAAGCACACAGGCGATTGAAGGCCCATATTTTAAAATTGAAATTAAATTATTGATAATCGGCTGAAAGTTCCGTGAGTTGAGACATTTTCTCGATATTGATTGGCAAATCTAATTCAATTGTTTAATTTACAATATCTATGGAATTGTTATGTCCGGCATATCATTATATTTTTCTCTAATTCTCTCGGACTTTAATAAATTAATTGCTTAACTCAATTTAATGAATAGTGACGTAATAAATAAATTTTTATAAATCATGAATGTTTTGCTGACGATTCAATGTTGAAACGGAGTATCAAGTTTCCCCTGAGCGAGTCTTCTTGACGAAACATTGACCCTCTTGCAAAACATCGAAGTTTTTCACTCTTGATTTTTGTTGCTTTTTCTCTAGTTTATTGAACCAGCTGACAACGCTGCAGTTTTAATTCTTCGGGACCTAGATACCAGTTTCAAGTCGTGAAATATTAACGAATATTTCACAACTTGACTTTTGCAACTCGAGGTGCAAACGGTGCACCATCGTTCTGGTTTTCTAGGGCACCCTGGCGACGTGGATCACGTTCGGGCCTTATTTTTTAAAGAAGTAGAAGTTCCTATCGAGGCTTTTCGTCAATAACGGTAGACTCGTCAAGACGGCCCGCGTACCGAGCGTCGCGTAATAATTTTCTTGTTAATGGAGAATACTTCTGATTCTCTACGTTTCTCTGTAAGGCAAGTTTAACCTCCAGCGTACCGAGAGTCGGTAACTAATAATTAAATATCAATAATAAATTCCTTATCGAGCTCAAGTGCAAAGTGTCACATTGTGAACTCAATAGAATTGAAATGAGTAAAGTAAATTGTTTACTCAGGTTCCTGCGAACCATTAAATTAATAATTGTAATAATTTTATAATAATCAGAATTCGAAGGTTAGTTTTAAAATACAATTTATAAATCAAAAAAGAGAATATCTTACATAATGATAAAATAAGAGTCTTCAGAATCAACCTTTAGTGTCTATCGTTAATTTTCTACAACATTTCTAACCTTTCTGGCTCTTATCGAGAACCATCAAGGAAGGAGCGTAAGCATGATAGTTTCTTTTTTTGTCCCTTTTTCCTAGTAAGTATAAAGTTTCTGTATTGAAG